ATACCACATACGTATATATATATATATATATATATATGTCCCCTGTGCTTGTTCGACGAAGTGAGTACAACGTGATAACAACGAGGATTCGTACGCGGTGACTCTTTTCCTTATCGATCGCGGATACAAAGACTCTGACGGAGACGGGTAAAGGATTAGATTTAGAGGGATTTCGTTCGCGACGTGGTTGCGAACGATCGTCAAACAAGGGGGGAAGAAAAAGTGGGGGGGAAAGAAGGAGTAATCGGTGCGGAGTAATCGCCGATTATTGTTGTTGGTGGTTGTGGGATAGGAAGGATCGAAAAAGGGGGGCGAGCGACTTGTTTTATTTCTTTCTCCCTCCCCCTCGCCCTCTCTCTTTTTCGCTTATGATCGAGAGAAGATCGGTAAAATCGATTTCCATGTCATCCTGTTGTCGCGGGGAAGGAAAAGAAGAAGGGTATCGTTATCGTTGCTCGTCGCGTAGCGTTCGCGGTCGAACAGCGAACGCGCTGGTTTACCCGTTCGGTTCATTCGGTTTGACGGAGGATTCTCGGGCACGAATTAACCGTTAACCGTGCCCTCCTTCTCGGCGTTTCGTCGGAATTTCTTGACGTCGAGAGGTATCAGTAAACGGCGGCAAACTGTACGGGCACCGGGAAGAAGAAATGCTCACGATGGAGACGGACCTGAAGGGCGGCAGCCTGCACGGTCAAATGCCACCTCACCAAGGTGTATCGCCAATGGGCCATCATACCGGTGTTTCGCCTTACGGCAGCCTCGGCTCCATTGTGCACAGCCCGGCGTTGTCCGGCAGCCCTCCGAGCGCCGGAGGTTTGGGCCTCGGCTTGCCGCACCACCACCAGACCCCGCAACACCATTACGCGTCGATGCAGGCTGCCCAGCAACAGCAACAGCAGCAGCAACAGCAGACGATACACTCATTGACCCAGCAAAACGCCGGCCAACAACAGCAGCAGCATCAACACCACCCGCACCAACCCCCCCAACAACAGTCCCAAACCTCCCACCATCAATCCGCCAACAACAATAACAACACGAGCAAGAACAACAACATCGACCGCGTGAAAAGGCCGATGAACGCGTTCATGGTGTGGTCCCGCGGGCAACGGAGGAAGATGGCCCAGGAGAATCCCAAGATGCACAACTCGGAGATATCGAAACGTTTGGGGGCCGAGTGGAAGTTGCTGAGCGAGACGGAGAAACGTCCCTTCATCGACGAGGCGAAACGATTGCGCGCCGTGCACATGAAGGAGCACCCCGACTACAAGTACAGGCCCCGCCGCAAGACAAAAACCTTGCTCAAGAAGGACAAATTCCCCCTGGGGGGTGGGGTGGCGGGCGTTGGCGGGATGCTGGGTGTGGATCAACGGCAAGTCGGGGGCAACGGTGGCCCCCAGCAGACCCAATTGTCGCGCGACGTGTATCAAATGCCCAACGGTTACATGCCCAACGGATACATGATGCACGATCCGACCGCTTACCAGCAACACGTCGCGTACGGGAGCCACATGGGCGGCGCGGCAGCGGCAGCGGCCGCCTCGGCGGCCGGCTATCCCAGGTACGACATGGGCCACCACATGGGCGGCGGTAGCCCGAGCCCGATAAACAGCTACATGAACGGTTACGGTGGTTACGGGAGCACCACCGTGCCGGGTGGCTCGCCCTCGCCTTATCATCAAGCGCAGCCGGGATCGCAAATGTCGAGCCACAGTCCAAGCGGTAGTAGCATAAAATCGGAGCCGACGAGTCCAGCGAGCGGTGGGATTCACACGCCGACGCCTACCGGCGCGTCGTCGACGGCCGCCGCCGGTGGTCAAATAGTTAAGCGGGAATACATGGGCCAACAACAGACCCAACAAACTCAGGGTGATCTCAGGCAAATGATCTCCATGTATTTGCCTCAAGGAGTGGAGCAGGGAGTCGTCCAACATGGCGCCGGTGTCTACTCGCCTGGACCATCTCCCGATCCCTTGGCGCAGCATCATACGGCCATTCCACCTCTAACGCACATGTAAGCCGAATTTCTTTTTTTTTTCTTCTCCCCCCCTCCCCCTTCCTCCCCTTAATATCTGTTACATTCTGCCTATTCCGCCGAGTCGATACGACTTTTCGTTATCGAAAGTCTTGCCGGATGGAGAGAGAGAGAGAGAGAGGTGAAATTCTCTATCTCTCTTTCTTTCTTCGTCCGAGAAGGCTTCGCATTTCGACCCCGTTTCGACCTTCGAGAGACGGGATAAACCTCGATAAACCAAGTTTGAGATTCAAGTTCTAACCACGTATACATCCGTCCTCGATCCGCGCGATTTTACTTTTCTATAAATCCGTGGTTTAGTTCAGTCGCGAGTAGTAGTTTAGTTATCGCGAAGAATTATTAGCGAACCGGTTTATCCCTCTCTCTTGGTAGATGTAAGCTTGATCCTACGTTCGAGTTTTGATTCGTCGAATATATATATTTTTCTTTGGAAGAACGAATTTCTTCATTTTCTTACGCTCGAAACTCGAACGTGGCGATTATATGTCGCACAAGCAACACCCTCGATAAACCAATTCACCACGCTTTCTATACGCAATTCTTGCGCCTTGCATTTGCATACTAACATTATCGCCACGACATTTCCACTTCTGGACCCTAATGATCAATCCCGAGTACATACGTAACAATTAGCACCGACGTAAGGAGGAAAAAAAAAAAAAAAAAAAAAAGAAAAAAAGAAAGAAACCCTACCTCCACGCTCCGTAGTAGTTCGTGGTAATGGCGAGCCTAACCTAAGCGATTTTTTTTTTACGTAACAAGATAACGAGCCATCCTCGCTCGATCGAGCGAAACGCATGATTTACTCCAGTAGCTGTGGTTATTATCAAAATGTTCCTTCCATTTTTATCGAATCGTTCATCGCTCGTTTCATCGTAGAAAAAAGAAGAAAAATATCTATTTTTCAATTGATCGTTTCCTATTCTATCATCCCTTCTTTCTCTCGAAACGAAAGATTCGTTGGACGTTATTCGTTGAATCGTGATAAATATAAAAGAAAAGGCGTTGCCGTTTCTTCGTACTACGCGTGTTTCTCGCCTCGAATCGGTTGGAAGAACGGAAGATCATCTTTCCAATGATTTAAGATCGCCGGTTTTAGATGGAACACGTAGAAATATTAGGACGCGTTTACCAGCGATCAACCAGACGATCGACTGGATTAATTCGTGGTAGCTAGGCGCGATAGGGTCGTCGCGCGCGAGATTAACGGTATTTGGGAAGATTTACGAGGAAAGTTTTCGACGACGACGACGACGACGACAACGGTCGACCGACGTGGTTGGTAAACAGAGAAACTCGTTCGATGTGGCAACAAGCACGATGCAAAGAGAGACTCTGTCTCACCTTTGTTTTCCTCTTCTCGTGGAACCCTTTTTCTTTTGTATACATTTATACAATTTCCTTATCTTGTGCTCCGAGATTCCAAATCGATTTCGATCGATCGAATTCTTCTTTTTCTTCTTTCTTTCCTTCTTTCTTTCCTTCCTTCCTTCCTTCCTTCCTTCTTTCATTTTCTTTCTCTCCGTTCTTTCTCTCAATTACTCGTTTTCGATCCGAATTTCGAGCGTAGGGTCCAGAACGTAGGGAATTTCGAGCGGTTTACACTCAAGATTTATTTCTCGTCGGCCATCTATCAAGAGATAAATGTTGAGTTTAAACGTGTCCGGTTTCGCGGGTTGAGTCAAGAGAATCTCGTAGGCCGCTGCCTTCCCTCCTCCCCCTCGCCCTACCCCCTCCTCCCCCCTTCCCCGTCCACCTTTACTTCGATCATCGGCATCGATCGTCGTTGCATCGCTCTTCGATTCTCCTCCTCCGCCTCGCGTTTCTTTCGATTCGATTCGAAGATTTCGTCGTTGAAATGAACGAAATGGTCGATCGAGGATAAATAAATACGTAAGAGATAGATGTTCGCTTCGCAAGAGTTTTTTTTCAACTCTTCTGATGAACGCCTCCGCGGACGAAAGAACGTGTGCGGCAACCACGAGAGAATTTCTTCTGACTCATCCCACGTCCGAATAGAAATAAATAATATCCAAAATACTGCGAATACTGCCCCTTGCAATCACCTAACGTAAAACCAATAACCCCGTAGGATAGCTTAGATTCAGAAGAGAGGACAACGTGCGCGTGGGACAACTTTGAAAGTATGAAGATGATATTCTAACGAGAAAACGAGAGATTACAAGTGAAAGAAAAAGAAAGAAAGGGAGAGAAAGAGAGAGAGAGTGGGAAAGAAGAGAAAAAGAAGTAAATAAAAAAAGATCGACCGAGATATGTTGGGATTGTTATATAAATAACACTGAGAATTCGTGGGGGCTGAGACGAGATCGTCGAAGATTTCTCGCAATCTTTGGAGAAATGGCAAAGGACGAAAAAAAGAAAAAGAAGATAACGAAAAAAAAAAAAAAGAAAAGAAATTCTTTCATCTCACGATTCTTCGCGCGCGAGATCACGCGTGAAGAATTCAATTAACCAGGATTCGAGGATTCTCTCGTGTATTATTATCTAACGTTAGATACACGAAGAAAGGAAGAAGCGAATAATAATCGCGTTCTCGAACGATCGATATATATATGATTTACGGAAGCGATTATCGTCGTTGGAATCGCGCGTGAGGATTTCCGCTCGTTTCCCCGAAGCTTGCGACGAATCTGCGCTCCTGCGGCCCCCACGCTCTTCCTCGCGCCTCGTGTGACTCGTTGAGAGAGAGCGTTCCTCTATTTTTTTTTTCTTTTTCTCTCTCGCTCTCTCCCGTCGACGCGACGATATGGAGGACGGAACGACGAGTCGTTCGTTGGAATCGGACGGAAACGCGATTTTGACGAGGAAACAGGGAGGGAGACAAGAAGAAGAGGGGTCCTCGCGGAATATATTCGAGAAAAAAAAAAGAAATGGAGATATTATATCGATGGGCGTTACACGTTACACGGAGCGAAATGAGAGGAGCAGAACGAGAATAAGAGAGAATGAACGAGAGAGAGAGAGAGAAAGGGGAGCGAGAAGGAACGCGAACTGATTAAACTTCTTACTGTGATAAAGCATGAAAAAAAAAGTTGAATGCTGCACAATTTAGCTCGCGTGTAAGAAATAGCAGGGTATAGTCGCCGTGAGGGACTCGATAGAAAGGGGATGATGATGATGATGATGATGATGTGAAAAGTAAGAGGAAGAGGTATATCGCGGGAAGGAAACATCGAAACAGGAACGAGATGTAACGATAAGTGTAACCGTGTGTGTATATAAATATATATATATATATATATA